TATTCCCGATCTCTCTCGTTCTCTTTTGATTTCTTATGCAGAGGTCAACAATTGATGAAGGAATCAACTATGAAAGTTTTATGACTTCAGAAGCAGCAGTTATGGTACATAAGATAGTAAAAAATAATTTTAGATGCTTGGCATGTACAATATAGGATAAATTATACACCAATATGATTGAGACGATAAACTAATGTGAGAGAGGAAAATAGATAGACCAAAGATCACATGACTAACAAGAATGCATTAAAAAATGCGCAAAAAATTGTTAACACCTTATAAAGTACTTGATTGAAATAAACGAAGAGTAATATTTATAAAGCCCCAAAATAGTTGTTATATGACTAATTATAATAATAATGATGATTCTAATTATGATTAATTTGCTACAGGAGATATTAATTCTAATTTATATTAGTTCTCCAGTTTTTGCTTGATAGTACTTTCCCAAAATTCTGAATTATCTGTGCATTTTATTCCATCTTTTGAGCTCACTCTAACATTTCACCGACGCCTTCCACTCTCGCAATGTCCATCTGTTTTTGTTAGATTTTGTGTTAATGGACGGATCTGTTTGCAGTTTTTATCAGGAGGGCAGTCTGAAGTTGAAGCAACTCTGAACCTGAATGCAATGAACCAATCTCCCAACCCCTGGCACGTGTCGTTTTCTTATGCCAGGGCTCTCCAGAATACTGTTCTAAAAACTTGGAAGGGCCAGCCGGAGAATGTGGAAACTGCCCAGAAGGCTCTTTTGATACGAGCAAAAGCAAACTCAATGGCCCAGCTCGGTCGTTATTCTGCTGAGGGTGAAAACGAGGAGGCCAAGAAGGGAATGTTCCAGAAGGGCTACACCTATTAAGGGAAACAACGGTTTTCTTTTGGTATGGTGCACAGCCGTAGAAAAAAACATACTATTTGTGAGTCTTTTCCAAGGATTGCATTGTCACTTTTAAATTATTATTCTTCTGAATCATGTTGTCATTTTGAATAAAGTACTTACTGCTCAGAGAATGCAAGTTGAGTATTTCATTTACCCTCTGTATACTAGGATGTCTTCAAAATGTTTTTGTCACTTTAATCCTTAACTGTTGTTTCTGATGCTCATTATCTTCTTAATTTTCTCCATTTTTCGTAGCTATTGTGATTTGAATATCTGATGGTGTTTATTTCATTTTTGTTGGAAATCTGAATGGTATTTGTTACCTCTACTTAAGAAACGGGATGATTCCTTATCTCATTAGTATTATTAAGAAAGAAAAAATTATGCTGCCTAAAGTGCTGTTGACAAACTTGGGTCGTCCCCGGAGGAACCTAATAGTATTGCTTTAACATAGGTGTAGAGAATGGTCATGCAATAGTAAAAGAAGACAATAGTGAGGTAATGGCATCGAATGACAGTAGAGAGGCCAGTGATTTTCTCTTCTAGAACGGCATTGTGATATGGAATATCCTGTTCTACAACTTCAATGCTATACATTTTTAAGTTTCATTGTTCATCCTTGTTTTTTTTTTTTTTCTCCAGTTACTGCCCTTTTAAAAATTGCAGCATTCTGGTAAGCCTGTCTATACTTGATACTCTGACTTCATCTAATATACTGTTCCAAATTTAAATTTATTGAGAAATTTGATTTTATATGACTCATAATAAGTAATGTCCTAATATTTATTTTATATATTTATTTGAAAAAATCAATCTTATATGCCTCATAATAGATAATTGTTCTAATATTTCTATTATATATTTATGTGCAGAAATGTACCTAAAATATTATTTTGAATGAAATTACTTCTAATGAAGGATAATTTTTTTGAATTTATGAGCTACTTGACAAAATCTAGTTCTCTTAATTTACTGCAATTTGATTTAAACTTAATTCGAATTGGGATTATATGAAGGGAAGAACTTCGAACAAGGTGGGGCAGGGTAGGATTCGAAATGGGATCATTATTATTAGGTGGTCCTGGACCATTTTTTGGGTTATCACATAATCGGGTGCGTATGGTTTTCTATAAGGTCAACAAATTTGAGGAATGTTTGGTTGACAAGTGTGGGCTTCGAAAATTTTTGCCCCTTTACTTTTTTGGGAGAGTTTTAACGAATTAAATTATGGGATAAATTTTAGAAGACATATTGGACTTGAAATAAGACATTATCCATATATTTCACCATCATTTTGGGAGGATTTTATGATTTTAGTTCTAGTTTTTTTATAGGCACAAGCCCCTATAGGTAATTACAATGGTGGG